AACCTTATACGACACAAAAAGAACTCCTTGCTTTAGCAATTTACACTTTATTCCTACGGGTTATGGTACTTATTTTAATGTTTAAAATTGTGTGTAATGTCGTTTTAAAACGAGGCTCGTGCGAGTTAACGCCATTACTGTCAAATTGTGAGCCAATCAGCGCGGCGCAACGCCGACCAATCAACGGTTATTTGAGTGCGTGTTCCGAATGCGAAATTTGTCCGGAAACTATGGAACTATTCAATTTGTAAAGTTTTTTACGCACGGGAAAGTTAGCGAACATTTTATTTGCAAAATAAATATTTTATATTTACTTAGATCAATACAATAAATTTATACACGACCTCACTCCATAAAAGTTGAATGCATTGGTACATCATTACGTCATAGCATATTTTAATTAGTAAAAAATGCGTACAGATTCATTGGAATGTAATCTATAACAAGAAATCGGACTAGGTTATTGTTCAATTACTAAAATACATAATGCCCTTGAAAAAGAACCTTACGTTTGATCAAATATTGAATAATTTAATTTACGATGGGGACTTCTACCCTCTAGTCATATAACTTAACTGGCCGTCATTATCTGCAGACGGGCGCGCGGACTGTCGGGCAGCCGGGCAGCCGGCCATCGCAATAGAAAGCGAAAACTTTTTAATTAGGCCCATTAATAGCACAAGTTGGCCAACAATACTTCTAAAAAGGCTTGACCTCGATCAAAAACATTAGCATTGCAAAATGATAGTAATAAAAATATTATATTCATTTAAACTCTTGAGAACTAACGAATAATGGTTTTCTATAGGTGTTTTAATAGTAAGTGGTTAACAAGTTTACTGAGGCAAAGAAAATCATAATTGTTCATCTGGTGCGGCGGTGGGCCAAAATGCGCCCCCAGTGGTAATTCCGCCAGTGTGTGACAGGTCTTTCTAGACCCACCAGCACTAGGATAGATTAAATTGACTATAACTTTGTGGGAATATAATATACGAGCTGTTGCCCGCAACTTCGTCCGCGTGGTATTAGAAATCATACTAACTATATAAATTACAAAAAGCTTCGTAGCCCTCGGGAACTGGACATTTCTCAGGGATGAAGCTTATCCCATGTGTACTCCAGACTTTGTTTTATATCTGTGCCAAATTTCAATAAGATGTTTAACCGTTGCAGAATAATCGAGTAAACATTAAAAACTAACTTAATGAATCCCACGGGAACCGTAACTATTCCCAGGATAAAAAGTCTATGTGTTCTTCCAGACTACGCTCTAAACCTGTGCCAAATTTCATGGAGATCCGTTCTGCCGTTTAGGCTACAAACGCTAACAAACATCCATCTATCCATCCATCTAAATTTTCGCATTTATAATATTATATATAGTAAAAAGTAAGATAATCGTTTCGACTAGCGAGAAGAACATAGTTTTCTACGTCCGTACCAGCTTAAGTACCGTGTAAGGCAGATATCGGGCTGTGTTACAAAAATAAACAATAATAGACAAAGAACGTGTTTCCAACAAAGAAAGTGACAAAGCACTTACATTAGAAATTCATTGTGAAAAGGCGAACTGTTGTCGATGTTAAACATTATCAAGGCGGTGGCGCTGGCAGCGCGCCAGCGGTCGCCATCGCGTCGGCAGATGGGTTTGAGATCTGACCTCTACGCTGAAAGTTACGTCAAGTTGTCACTATGAACTACGATTTTTATTTAAAACGCATATTTTTATTGTGAAGTCATATTTCTCAATCAATACGAATTCTAGCTCTTGTGCCCTTGGAGAGATATCTATGTCGGCGAAGCAAGGGGTTGGAATGGTATGTGAAAATAATTCACGGACTTATTTTGCCGCTATCTAACCGGCGCCCTAGAACGTCACTTAACCGTGTCCTATCTTACGCCGATACTGTTCTTAATTACCCGCTAAATATATAGATTCGTTGTATCTGTTTTTATCATCATAATTTTTTTTGTCTGCCCACTGTTGGACATAGGTCTCCCCAATGTCTTCCACGGAATGTGGTCCTCTGCCTTTCGCAACCATTTCCCACTGTTCTCACAATCCGGCTTATTTATAACGAGCTGTTGCCCGCGATTTCGTCCGCGTGGTATTAGAAAACATACAAACTATCTAAATTACAAAAAGCTACGTATCCCTCGGGAACCGGGGATTTCTCGGGGATGAAGCTTATCCCATGTGTACTCCAGACTTTGTTTTATATCTGTGCCAAATTGCAATAAGATATGTTGAACCGTTGCAGAATGATCGAATAAACATTAAAAAACTAAATTAATGAATCCCACGGGAACCGTAACTATTCCAGGGATAAAAAGTAGCCTATGTGTTCTTCCAGACTATGCTCTAAACCTGTGCCAAATTTCATGGAGATCCGTTCAGCTGTTTAGGCTACAAACGCTAACAAACATCCATCCATCCATCCATCTATCCATCCATCCATCTAAACTTTCGCATTTAGATTATTACTAAGATAAGATTAACTAGCTGATGCTCGCAATTTCACAAGCGTGAAAAAATACATATAACCTATATTACTCACTGATAGCGTAGCTTTTTAGTGGTGAAATAATTTTTGAAAATCGGCCCATTAGATTTTGAGTTTTTTCAATACACACAAAAACACTAACCATTCCTCTTTATAATTTTAAGTATAGATTTACCTTAATAATAAAAGTTGTAAAAAATAGTAAAACTAAAATCCTTATACTATAACAACCGTTGTTTTGTAAAATAATCAACTAAGTTTTTTTTTTCAATAAACTTCAATCTAACTTAACTTGTATACACAAAATGTGCAGGTAACAAGTCTATTTCTCACTCGCAAACTTTTCCCACCGTATCGGAAATTGCTCATTCACACTTAGATGAGCCCAGTGAAACGTCAGCGGACACTTAAGACCACTAAAGAAGTCAAATGCATATGTCAAAGCGAATTTGAATCTCAGTAGAGGCGCCAAGCGGCGCGCCTCCGCGGGGCTCCATTCGGCGTCACGCGAGCGCAGCGTGGCGGCCGCGCCCCTGCCGGCTCATTAGGGCTCCGGCGCGGATCACAAAGACAAACCTTTGACATATTAGGACACGGTGAAATGAACATTCTAGATCTTGAATTTATGGGAAGTGAACACGTCGCGGGTTCGCGACATTTGACGTCTCGAAGTCACTCAGCCGCGCGGGTGACGTGAGAATGCGCGGGAAATTGGCGGCTGAGGTGGGGCATACGGGCAGGACAATACACTGAAATAGTAATTAATATTTGGGAGAATAGGTTTAAAAAAAGGAAATTGTAAACTCAGGTGATATATTTGCTTTTTTGAGCATTTTTATGTCAATAAAAGATGTTATGAATTGACCTTATATAAATGAATTGGAAATGTTTAGTTTTGTTTTCTTTTCAAATTACCTATGCTGAATGTGTAATTTGAAGTGCCGACAACCTAAAGTTAAGACCAGGGATTGCGACACTTACAGTCGAAAGATTGAGCTCATTCCAATGGTAACATTATGGGCCATCTTCATATCGCCTTTCCCATTCTACCTTTATCTTATTAGATATTAGGAAAGTGATGGATTTGACATAGGTAAGAAATAAATGTGAATTCTATCCATCATCCAATTGACGGCGCAGCGGTAGCACATTATGCTGCTGCAGAAGTGTATCGGTAGCGGTCTATTACATTCAAGTGACTTGCTTGCTATTTTCCAGTACCATTGTACAAGGAACAAATCGTAAGACAGTTATCACTACGTAAATAGTGGTACAAAAGTGCTCTGAAAAACGAGAAAAGCTAATAGTAATGAAGTCTTGTTTTTTCCTAGTATAAAGGCTAATAAATTTTACGTGAGATTTTTTACAAGTTTTTGATTGATATAAGGAAATTAACCTATGACATTTTTCAATTATTCCAGTAAAAAATAACAAAACACAATAAGATAAAGGGACCGTTTTTTAAATTGCCTCTTAAAACATTTATTTTGACGCATGTTAGCTTTACCTGTCAAAAACGATTTCCAAGATGGCGGACAATGGCGTCTGAAGTGGCGTTTGTTCGATCAATAGTTTTTTAATTTCCTTTTTTTTGCACCACAATCGAAGGTTCGAACAGAATTTGTTGAGATGAAAGGAAATTAGGGGCCCAGCGGACCGCTGGAGGCCACTCGAGCTATGAATGAGTTGAACTTAACTGAGTTTTAAAGTTTTTTGTCCAGGTAAGCAATTTTAATGGGCCGTTATTAACAGCGGAGTTCGGAAGTACGCTGTTTTTCTTACTGTTGCGTTACCGGCAAAAACTATCGCAATACTTTGTAATGTTTTTTTTTGCTAATGGGTTCGCAATTCACCTAGTATTTACACTCCTAGAAGTTAAGAATTTTGTGGTTATCTAAAATTTTAGTTTCAGACAATATGCCCCGCTATAAAATTTTAATATCTCACTTTTGAACGTTTTAAAAGATCGGGTAAAAACATTTTTAGGACATTAAAATAAAATAGAGTAATTTCATATTTTAATCATTTATTCTTTAAAATTTGTCTATGTATTAATCTATAAAAATCAAATATATTTAATACATCAAATGTTGAACATATAATAATTTGTAATTTCATTAGAAATTCGTTTCCTATCTCAAAACACAAATAGCAAACTGTCTTTTGCTTTTTAAAGAGACCGAGTTCTTTAAGAAACCAGAGACAATAGGTATATTTTTATACGTGTTTCGACAGAAAACAATGTACCTAAGTGTTTTTTTAATTGTAATAATTTTAATTATTCGTCCAAAAATTTATAGTCTGACCAAAAACATAAAAACCCTCGCCATTTTGCGGAGAAATACGGAACTATTTTCTTTTACGCACATTAGAAAGTGACATAAAAATGCGATTTAAGCGCCTTGGGTAAGATTTTTATGTTCTTGTTTAGACAATAAAATACATTTTTCTATACATACAGTCAAAATAATTATTTAGAAGAAAAATAATACATTTATATAATTGAAAAAAATCGTATTTTAACTTTAATGGCTACTTGAACATTGGTGTGTTTTTAAATTAAATTACACTAAGGGATTTCCTTAGTGTCGGAGTATAGCAGTGTTTTACGTCGTGTGCATTTTTACTTCTAAATAATTAGGTTTGCGTGAATAAATTCATTACAATGTGTAAAATGTAGGTAAAATACAAAAAAGGCCTAATTCGAAAATTAGCTAAAAACTTAACCTAATCCACCAAATAATCCTAAAATATAAGAATTGTTGTGAGAATTTATACATACTTATATGTACATTATACACAAACTGTGTTTGTTTAATCTTATTTCCACTGGCCTTTCTCGATTAGCCGCTAAGTGGAAACGGATACTAAATATTGAAAAAAAACGTCATAGAAAACTTTGTTCAAATTTGAATTTCGAAATCATGTCATCGCCGTTTTTCACACTATGGTAGTTAGTCGAGTAATGAGTAATTTAGTAGCTAAATTCGGAAAAACGGAATTTTTTCTCGAGTATTTTAGCAAATAATTTAGTAGCACCTCCCACCACTTACTAAATTACTAAACAAGACCAAAACTTTTGTTTTAATAGATTTATTTAGTAAATTTTGATCAAGCAAAACACCACTCGCTTAGTAATTTAGTATATTATCTACTAAATTACTCGATATTCGACTAAATCATTATCCTAGTACTAGGCGTCAATCTATACTTATCCTCCATCGATTTGTCGCATATTTACAAAAATCGCTTGTTTTAAAGTTTTTCAACGCCATGACCCGCCTTGCCGACCACCTTGTCCTGTAGGACGACGTTCCGACTGCGGCCCTCTGGAATACTTCTGCCCCTGTCCGTGGTAACCCCTGCCATTCGACTGGGAACTATTGTAACCCTGAGTGGTGTAACCTTGGTTGCTAGAATAACCCTGGTTGCTGGAGTAACCCTGGTTGCTAGTGTAACCCTGGTTGTTAGAGTAACCCTGATTGCTATGGTAATTATTACCATGGTGATTGTTACCCTGGTAGTTCTGTCTGTAACCCTGTCCCTGGTATCCACGGTTCTGTCCTTGGTTATAATTTGACGTGTACCCGCTGCGTTGCGGTCCAAAGGAATGAGATCGTTCTGTAACAATTTAATAATACTTGAACACAGTAATTTAATTTCTCGAAACAACGCCGATCGATTTTAAATGTTTGTTATTTTCCTAGAGAAATGAAGAATATCTTACTTTATAACTAATATTATAAATGGCACAGATGTACAACATGATCTAGAAGAATACAGGATGTTTTTAAGTTTTATTTTTAAATTCTGCTCGAACAAAATCGTGGGTGTTAATTGCGTTTGACATCCATTTTGCCAACTATTTACAATTTGTCTAGACAGACAACAAATTACATAAAAGGTAGATGACATAAAAGTTATAGTTTTAAAAGTAAAAGTGGTCGTCTGTACAGTTCAAATAATACGCGTTAAAATGTAGAGACGAGTTGCGTGTCTACCAGTATAAAAGTACACAAAGGAGCAGCCAACCAACCTAAATCCCACATTGTATGGAGTTGAATGCAATCCCGAGTTTCACTCCCATTGCTATCTACAGTGCAACATTTTACACGTTTCCTATATTACGACAATTACAGTACAAGCCGGTGACACACCGAGAGATTGATGCGATAAAAAATCTATGCTTTCAAGAAATTTAACTTGAAATATGAATTAAGATAACAATAAAAATTTGTCATAAAATATGCCTACATAAGTAAAACTTCTTTCTATCTCGTTCTATTGTTTTACTTAAATAAACTAGGAAATTTACTTTAGTTTTTTTTAATACTCCCACTTCCTTCAGTTTTTTTTTTATTTATAAGAGAAGGGGGCAAACGAGCGGCGGGAACACAAAGGTGGTCAACGCCCATGGACATCCGCAACACCAGAGGAACTACAGATGAGTTGCCGTCCTTTGAGGAAATTGTAGGCTCGCTTCTTGAAGGACCCTAAGTCGTATTGGTTTGGAAATACCGCCGAGGACAGACCGTTCCACAACGCGGCTGTGTTCTTCTTCTTTTAAATATTAAAAAAAATGTTTGCAAGTATGATAATGTACTCGCTTCGCTTTTTGTGCTTACAAATATACCAAATATTCGTGAAATACCACAATAATATAGTGATATGCATTGTGTGTCGCAAGCTTAATGACTAGCACTGGAAGTGGCGCACGAGTATTTAATCGTGCGCTCTATGACGCTCGGACAAAGATGTTGAAAACTTGGAAGTGGCAGCCACCGTGATTGTCAATTGTTTAAAAAAGGTCGCAAATCTGAAGTTACAAGGAAAGTCTTACAAATTACACCTCTGGGCCGAGTAAAAAAATATGCACATAGAATCACTATTTGAATGATGAACTTGACAATCATGAAAATCAATCTCAAAAAATTTTTTGCAAAATAATAAACTAAATAATTACATTTTATGATATGGTATGGGCGTCACCAAGGAAGGGGGGCAGCTAACCTCCCCAGTATATAGTAAAATAGATTTAAAAACTTTTAAGAATAGGATATTAGGAATAAAACCACGGTATCCTCCACGTCGCAGAATCGCACAGAGAAACACCCTTAAAGAGATGGTCAAGGAGAATCAAGATCGCAACCATCAAGAATGAGGAAACTATCCAGAGACAGACAGCCTCCTCCTAGATGTAAAAAAATCATCGGCTGACGACCCTTATGAATCGACAATAATCTAACATCAGTCATATCCAGTATTAATATGAACGTGTGAGAGGCTTAGCATTAACTTAGAATGCATCGGTCGAGTGAGGTTGGCACACATCAAAGTTGGCCAAGTAAAGGGATAGGCGACAGGAGGCAGTCCTGCCCTCAGCGGTACGGCAAATAAAGATTTTCACTCCGCCCTCTTGACGGGGCTTAGCGAGGGAGGAATTGTTATGTACAGGTTAATGCGGGTAATTCTTAACTTGGATGTTAAAGAAACGGACGAATGGATTTGACTTAGGCGTTGTCAGTTGTTAAAAATTGTTTAAGTTAGCGTATAATGTTCCAATTAACGAGAAAAATCTTATTGATTTTTTTTTCAGACTCCAAACATTATATAGAAGTAGTGTTTGACCTCTATATGTTTTTTATTTATCTATAAAATAAGTATAATACGTCTTACTAATATTATAGTTGCGAAAGTTTCGATGGATGGATGTTTGTTAGAGTTTGTAGCCTAAACTACTGATCTCTTTGAAATTTGGTATAGATGTCGGATAGTCGGAAGAACACATAGGCTATATACTTTTTTTTTTTTAGTTCCACGCGGACGAAGATGCGATCTAAAGCTGGACTAATCATAAAAGTTTACAAACCAAAATTGTACACAATAATCATGAAACGGATTTGACCACTTTCGTCGTTTTTATAGACTATTTTTAAATAAAGCATGAAATATGACATTAGTGACAGAACATAGTAGGTCATCACAGTATTTTAAGCACTTCGAAGTGTACAAGAGGTCTATTAGTGTACGAGTGACAGAGGTCTGTAATTGCAGGCGAGTCCGACATTAGCGGCCATTGTGTGCGGCGCCCGGCCTCGCAAATCACTCTACTCGGCTTTTGGAAATCAAAAAGTATTAACATTTGGTACCCTAGTTATATGGAATTGATTATTTGATGTGATTAAATTATTTAAAAAGTATATAGACGAATATTTTAAACTATATTTCGCCAGCGACTCCGTCCGCAGTAAAAAAAAAAACAAAAGTAAGTAGCTTAAGTGTTCTTCCGCTATCCTCTGCATCTTTGCTAAATTTCATCGAGATCCGTGTAGCAGTTTAGAATTTAGAAACATCCATCCATCCATTTGAACTTTCTCATTTATACTATTAGTAAAATGAGTGTGAAAAAGGTATAGGTATGAACAAAAAATTGAATTTTTAAAGCCTGCGTTTGAAATCTTTTAGGTAACCTAACATCAAACGCATCAAAAATGTATGAATTCGTACGTTTTTGTACCAACGCTATACTTGAAAAACTCTCCTTTCAATCAATAGAATCCTTTGAGCTGTAACACGCCACATCATTGAGCAAGATTCACAAATATGACATCAAAAGCGGGATCAAGTACAAAACACAACTCATAGATCTTTCTAGAATCAGTGGAATTCTAATTTAGCGCGACTTTAACCCTCCAGCCTTAACCCTTTACACCTATGTGAAAAAAGAAAAAAACGTAACCTGCCGCGGTAGACATAATAGGCAACTAATGGACGCCGGCGCGACACATTCAGCGCGTCAAAAGCGCGCCAAAATAAGAGCAATGGCGACGCGCGCCAAAATTCTACAAGAACCTAGCTTGCCAGACGCCGAAATTATAATTCCTATCAAATGTTTTGGGAGTTTTCTTTTAAACGGTAGTTTCTGTCTGGTTTACCTTACATTTGAAAGCTTTGACAAGATTCTATACAAATATCTGAATATACCATATATAGTACTTTTCTTCGGACAATTAAAATAAAATTCCACTCTTAAATCTGTTAATCAGGAACATTTAATTGTAGATATTAAGTATTTTATTCTAAAAGGAAATAATGGTGTCGTCAGAGTGGAGTACGACGGAGACAGCGGCGGGCTGCGGGTTCGAAGCCGGCGGGATAATGAGAGGCGTGCGCGCGTGCTCAAGGGCCCGGCCTCCGCCACGGGTTAGGGCTCCGCAAGACTTGGAGACGGACAGGGCACGAGTTCAACGCAAACGTTAATTGCCAATTTATTTGTTAGGAATTAAATGGGATGTAGGAAGAATAGGAAGACCATGAAACTCTCTTATCTTACTAATATTTTAAATGTGAAAGTTTAGATGGATGGATGTTTGTTAGAGTTTGTAGCCTAAACGGCTGATAAGATCTTGATGAAATTTGGCATAGACGCAAAGGATAGTCTGGAAGAAAACATAGGCTACTCCTTTTTGTTTTTTTTTTTAATACCACGCGGACGGAGTCGCGGGCGAAAAGTAGTTACTACATAATTCATCAACAACTTCACCTTGTCGTTACGGACTTCGGCGTAGTATGTGCTGCTCTTCCATACATTTATATCAGCCGTCATATTTGAATACACTCCCTTAAGCATATTCTCTCACACAATCCATACATTCTTCTGTCTTCCTCTACCTTTGTAGCACCTTCAATCTTAACACTATATAATCATGCAGTTTGTTTTGGATTAAAAACCATTATTGTTTTCTAACACTGAAACATTCTACAGCTTATACTGACCTATAATATCAAATATACTAAAAAGATTGTCTACTTAAAAACATCTTGTATATTAAATGCAAGGAACCCATACAAAAAACAAGACATCTATTTTACGGTCCGTTTATCATAGCTTGCACTAGAGCTCACGTAGCAAGAACCGCAACACGTCGCGACATAAGTGAAGTTGACATTTCATTTTAGAAGCAGACGTATGAAATATCTACGTCTGTACTATGAATATTTAAGAAAAAAATACATGACAAAATTGTCGATATCCACACTATCTGTTAAACAAATTTCAATAAATTAAGGAATGGATTGCGGTCATGTTGAACACAACTTTCAATGTATTTCCCATACTTAGAATACACTAGAAACTGTGTAGTGAACATTTAACAACTCAAAGGGGTTTCGCACCACTGGCTGACAGAAGCTCTGATAAAAAATAACGTCACTGTCAGATAAGGGAACAAAATACGATATTTTACACGTTCGATTGTTATCATACATGGATCATACATAGATGGGACAGGCCCTAATTGCGACAGAACTTAGAACGCCACAAATATTCCGTGTCGTTTGTCGATCGATCTCACCTAGCCCCCTATTTCCTAAGTCGATGTTTGAAATAGGGAAAAAGTCAATATAAAAATCAAATGCACGTATTCAAACCTGCAGCTTAGGGGGCAAATAATTAGGCCACGTGCCGCTCCGACTACGGGAAAGATGATAATTTGCTATCACAATACAACATTCAACTTTAAGCCTATAGATATAAAGTACAAAATTAAATTAGAACAATTCGTTTTAGATTTGATTGCTTCAATAAAAAGAGATTAATTGGACGTCAAGTCAAGTGGATT